CGCCCTTTTCAACCGATGAGAGGAATTCAGCGTACATCGTTCTGCATTCGGTTGTGTCGTGTCCTTTGACATCATGGTACTTGCAGTGCTTAGTGAGGTCGACTCCTTTAGAAGATCCCGCTCCCGAGGTAGCCGGCGAAACTGGTTGAGTTGGTCCGGCAGGACTAGCTAAACCTTTCAGAGCCGCCGTCTCGCGGTTATATACGTTCCACGGCTCGCCGCGTACGGAGAAGCTCGCGACTGGGGTGTTATTCTCGTCGACGACAAAGAGAAGGCCGCTCTTTTGCTGTTTCTTGTCGCCGGAAACGTGTTGACGCGGCTCCGGCTTTGCGTCAGAGGTCTTGGGTGTTGTCGGCTTCGCTGCGCCATGCTTGCCTATGATAGCTTTCGTGTCTTCTTCCATTCGGATGAAGTTGTGTGAGCGGGCTATGGCATCCTGGAGCGTTGTGGAGGTGCTTCGGTACAGGTCCTCTCGGAACTTGGAATCGAGATGGAGGGTGTTCATGAGAGCGTCGACGGCTATATGGTCAGGGATGTCGATCTTTGAGACGATCGACTTGAAGCGCTCCATGAAGTCACGAAGACTTTGGTCTTTAGTCTGTTTCAGATTCCACAAACTGGAGGCTGTTGCTTCGCGCTTAGTGAACATAATATAGGTCTTGAGGAAAGCCGACGAAAGCTCTCTGAAACTGCTGATAGAGTTCTCCTTGAGACCTGAGAACCAGGTCAAAGCTTGGTCGTGGAGTGTTTCTACGAACAGCTGACAGTACGCGGCGTCTCTTTCGTCGTCGGGTAGTCGCGCTCGAGCCATCGCGATGTTGAAAGCAGTCATATGCTCCACAGGGTCGCCTCCAGGTTTGTACTGTGGGACGCGTAACTTCTCGATCTTGCGGAAATTTACGCTAGTCAGCGTACTGGTGAATGGAGTACGCTCGGTTGAGGCGAGAACACTCTCGATCTGCGGAGCGGCGCTAGTAACCTTGTGAATCGTGGAACTCATCTGTTGGAGGTTCAGTTTGAGCTCGGCGATTTCACGGACAGTGGTGAGATCTGGGCCGACTTGAGCCGCTTCTGCAGTATGCGGCTCGTTGGGCTCCGACTCTTCGGAGGCATGGTCGGCTACCGGCGCTGTCGGGTTAGTGTGGAAGAGATGACGTCGGAATGGTTGAGAGTTACTCGTCTGTCCGGCGGGAGCTGCTGTTAACGCTGCTACGAGTGCGGCGAGTTGAGCTTGAGTCTCCTTTTGTATTTCGTCTTGTCTGGCGAAACGCGCCATGACGGAGCTCATGAAGTCGGGAGGAAGAGGGGTTTCGGGCACGGGAGTCTGAGTCGGCTCCTCGCCGGCGGTTCCGGAGACGGTTCCGTCGTCAGGCATGTCTAGATCTGATAACGTTGCTTTGTTCAGAGCCCCACGGTGGGCGCCAAATTGTTTGAGGTGAAAATGGTTTGAAACAATATAAAGAGAGAGATGAGGGCGAACAAAGACGTTTTATTAGATCTGAGCAAAGAGTTACAAAGAAGAGAGTAAATCGACGGACTAGCCGGAAGTACAAGATGGTGAGTAAATGGGAAGGTGACTAAACAGGGAGGTGACTAAACGAGAGGGTGAGTAAACCCTAGACCTAACCACCTAATCACTAGAAAACCCTAGATCTAGCCGTCAAGTGAGTATGTTCAATTCCGGATCCCCCTTCCCTTTGCTGCCTCTCTCCTTTTATAGACCCTGTCTTCGCGTTCGCCCTAGTTCAATCAAGCCTTGTTGGGCTTGATTCTCATTAGGCCCGTTTAGTAGTCCGGGTAAGTCGCGCTTCAACCGACTCTCTTAGTCGCGCTACTAAACGCGTCTCATGCCGAGTCGTTTTGATATTACCTGGTGGGCCGAGTACGTTACCGTGTTGGGCTAAGTTTCCCCCATTTGATGGGCCTTGCGGAGGGGTACAACCCATCTCCTACAAAGGCCAGGTTCTTCCTTCCACGTCACCGTCTCAGAGACCCCCTCTTCAGCAACAGCAGCATCAGCAGCTGAGACAACAGCAACTACAAGTGGCTCAATTACAGCAGCGTCCTTTTGAAGCTGGCGTGTGTGTTCGGAGATTTATGATGGTCTTGCATCGTATTAAGCAACGACCTGCTGTAAGCTAAAACTACTAATCTCTGTAATCTCTGTGTTGGGAGATTTATGATGTTATTTGTTTTATAGGATAATTGCATTACCTTTTGGAGGAAGTTCGTGGCAGAATACTTCTCACCTCGCGCAAAGCAAAGGTTGTGCTTTTCTCAGTACAAAGGTGCTGGGGACATGCTTAACCTTGGCGTGTTACCAACGGTTCAGTTTCTTTCTTCATACCCTTGCCCTGTGTATTATTATTTGTCTTGTACGATATTGGTGGTTCTAGCTCTACTCTTTCTGAATTTTCTTTTCTTTTTTTGTTTGTTTGTTTGCAGGATATGTGGGAGTGTGATCTCTGCCGCATCAAGTCTGGAAAAGGAGTAGGTAAGAGAGTTGTTCCTGTGTGCACTTTTATTAAAGCACAATGAAGCAACTTCCATATGCTAAAAAAAAAGCTTTTGTGTTTCTTGTTTTTTGAAATCTGTAGAGGCATCGTTCGATGTGCTTGCGAGACTATTTGAAACCAAATATGCTAATGGCGGCATCATTGATGAGCTCTTGTCTCTGGACCGCCCACGAGAATACAGAGCTCTCAGTGGAGTGATGATACTAGACTATAGAAGAGTAGTTCAGGAAACACTACATGAGCAGTTTCGTGTTGTTCGTCAGGGCCATCTTCGCATCACATTCTCTCCAAATTTTAAGGTTCTCTTCTTATTCCAAAACTTTCTGTGTGTTTCACTCACCACTGTTCTGATTAATGCTCTAAGATATCTTTGACTTTTTGCTTCTCTTTCCAGATACTGGTTTGGGAGTTTTGTGCTCGGAGTCATCAAGTGTTTCTTTTTCGCATACATATTGCTCCCCAGGTCCTATTCTGATGACATGAGATTAAGACTTACAAAATGCTTGTGCTCAACTTTATTTCCTTAAAACCCTTTTTTTTTGGTCATGCAGGTGAACCAGTCAAACAGTAACATGTAAGTTGATCCATAACATTTGTTTCTAGTGCAATAATATATATATCATTGTTGGGGTGCTAATTTGTGTGGGTCAGGGTCTTGAGAGCAGGAAGGCAGCTGGCAAAGTCCACCGGAGGAAAGTCTCTGAATCATCTTGGCTATCCAAAAAAATATGTCAGAGCTCTACAGGTTAGTTCCTTTCCTAGCTGTTTAGTTTTGTATCTGAAGCGTAATAGAAAGGCCATTGCGAGTGACAGATACATGAAGTTGTCAAGAGCATGAAGGATCTGATGGATTTCACATATGACCACAGAATCGGCCCTATCGGTAAGTTGCCATTCTGGTGTGTAACTTTCGTGTGATTGGACCCGCAGATGTTTGGTAAAAAGAATAATCTTATCCTTTGAGAATAATCAAAAATAGAAAGTGTTCAATTGGAACATGATTCTTGAACCCCTTTCACGCTCATGTCACGTCGAGGTACTGCAGAAGAAAAAACTGCAAAATCCGATCCAATTTATCGTAATCGATTAGTTAACATGTTGGTTAACCGTATTCTGAAACACGGAAAAAAATCATTGGCTTATCAAATTATCTATCGAGCCTTGAAAAAGATTCAACAAAAGACAGAAACAAATCCCACGCCCCTTTAAGACCCCGAAAAATTGACAAATTCCCTTTTCTTAGGAACACGTGCGAGATAAAAAAAAAAAGCCCCGGGGAAAAATAGAGATGTCTCCTACGTTACCCATAATATGTGGAAGTATCGACGTAATTTCATAGAGTCATTCGGTCTGAATGCTACATGAAGAACATAAGCCAGATGACGGAACGGGAAGACCTCCGCCTATCTTTCTTCTTTCTTTTTCTTCTATTCACATCAGTAGAATCACAGCTCTTACTGTTGAAATGTTCTGTTTGAATGTATTTGTTTTGATTTCCCTTACATAGAAGCGTGGAAACGGCTCTCGGAACAGACAAGTCAAGCTCAGATGGCGTTGAATCCAGGAAACAACAAGAATAATCACTATCAACTTGTTGGTCGTGGAGCTGTGAATGGCTCAGCTGAAGCAGCTGCTGCTCAAAGCATCTTTATGATTCTAAATGCTATGAAAAAACCATACTCAAGTCAGAGCCAGAGTCCATATTTGTCTCAACAGCGGCAGAACTTAGCAACATGTGGCTTCCCCCAGATGCAACAGCAGCATCGCCCCAACACGCTTCAGCAGACTCATTCTCATCATTTTCTGCAACCACCACATTCAAATGGTAACAATCAGGAGCTTCAGAAGCCGTATGAGAACCCAAGTGTGCAACAGCAACAAGCCTTTTCAGGTCAAAATGGTGACAACAGTAACGCAGAGGGCAACCCAACTAGCTCCACTTCCAATATCTCAGGAGGAGTCCAAGTTCCAAGCCGCAACAACAGTTCTAAAGCAGACTCAAACATCAATCCTCATTTGTCAGAAGATGCCACAGAAGCACCTGACGATTTCTCAGCAGACAACTTCTCCAAGGACAGTGATGTATAGGGTAGCTTGTAGACCAGAACAGAGGCGTTGCTACTTTGACTTTAACACATTGAAAAAGGTTTTAGGCTTAATTCTTCTCATTTAGTTTGGTTGGTTGGGTCTTTGTATAGCAACCAAAGTGATATGAGTGAGACCAGTGAAGGTCGTTGTAACTAGGACTTTAGTATTTTTCATTCTTTCCCCTTCTAGTGACACTGATGTAATCTCAAAAGGGTTTATAAGCTTCTAACACAGAATGTGCATGGTATCTTTGTCAGAATAAGAAAACTAATGTAACAGACAAAGTGCTACATGGCGGAACAAAATAAGAGGCACATTATATTTTACTATTTGCAGAGTATGAGTTAGCTTACCGATCTTTTGTATGAAAAGATTGTTATCAAAGCAAAAGCATAGAAAAGAATAATAACATTACTTGAAAAGTGATTGCAGAGATTATTAAAACCTATATAAGATCTCATCATACTATCACTAAAAAGGATGGGACAAAGATGCTAAAGTGCCTATTAAATTTTAACAATAATTTTTTTGACATTTGTTGATATAGACAAAATTTAAAATAACTATTAAGGAAGATAATTATATGAAGCAATTTGACTTACTGTGCATATTTGATAGAGTTTCTCTCTTACAAAAATGTCATCTAGTATTAATATAGTAATTTTTTTTTTTAATAACACTGAGTAATAAACAAAGTTCAAGGAAAACAAATGGAAGGAGGAATAACGAGAGAAAAGATGTCAGTAGACACCCTCGCAATACAATATGGTAATAGAAGCAAACCACTTCCTTACTTATTGGGCCTCCAAAACGAGAAGGTGATGAAGCCAAGATGGAGCTTGCCGAGCGATATATGATTGGTGGCGCCTATCCCGAGTGACACTGAGAACAATGGCCGCTGCAGCTTTATTAATATAGTAATTATTAATAAAGATAGTAAGTTTTGACTGGTTGTTGTGTATTTTTTTTTCTCTTTTTTTTTTGGTTGTTTTTGGTGCTATGTAAAGAAACAGAATTTAAATTCTAATTGTGATTTTAGGTAATCAAAATGATATGAGTTGTTTTTCACCTCAGTTTTATTGAAAGTAATAGAAAATTAATATCACTAAATCATTGTAGTATTATAAATACATCAATTAAAAATAATTAATGCTGTTATTTTTTTTTTTTTTTTTTTTTTTTACATCAATTAAAAATAATTAAT